CTTTGCTCTTCACAGTAGCCATATAAACTAGGAATATTTCTAGGATCTAAGAGAAGTAAGTCTTTTCATGTGTCCATATCCACGTGTGTTTGTGTGCCTGGCTTGATTATTCAGGGATGAAGTGTACTGTGGTGGGGAAACTATAGAATCTGAGCTGGGGTCTCCTGTCTCTACTATCTATCGGTGTGACCTTGGTAAGGCCTTACCTCCTCGGGTCTGTGTTTCATTCATCTGAAAACAGGGAATCAAAGTACTTTCCCTCACAATCTCTTCCTGTTCTAAAATTCTGTGATTCTAAGCTTATGGATAAATTTTGCACATATGCATGACTTCAAACATATGATTATTCTTAGAGCTATGCACAAAGCATATACCTTCTGTTGATGAATTTGCATTTCATCAGAGAAATGTGTCTATAACCGGTGCTCAAATTAGAATCCGAAGAATATTTTTGCCAACTTGCTTTATTATAGTATCAACTTAGTATCTGAATGTGTTTTACATATAATGTGGGTTCACTGAATCATTGTAATGATCATCTGATTAGCATATCTAAAAAAAACACAGAAGGAACCCTGCTTGAAAGTAGATGGTTCCAAAGATGGCTGCAACAATATCTTCCGTTCTATCTGCTCCTTTGTAAGGTGACCTTGCTGCACCCCATCAAAAGAGTTTATTTTCCTTCCCTTTGAAACTGGCTGTCCCTTTGATTTGTTTTTACTTAGCGATTGTAACAGAAATGAAGTCATGTAGCTTTTGATATCAACTATGAAGTCTACATGGCTACATAGCTACTATGGCTACATAGCTACTATGTAGCTACTATGAAGTCTACAGTCTACACAGACTTCCCTCCTAAGTCAGTAAAGAATCTACCTGCAATGCAGGAGACCGGGGTTCGATCCCTGGGTTGGGAAAATCCTCTAGAGAAGGAAATAGCAACCCACTCCAGTATTCTTGCCTGGAGAATCCTATGGACAGAGGAGCCTGGCAGGTTACAGTCCATGGGGTCGCAAGAGTTGGACACAACTTAGTGTCTAAACTACCACCATGAAGTCTACAGCTTCAGCCTTTACTTCTTGGGATGCTCCTGCTTGGAACCCAGATACCATGTTGTGAGGAAACTCAAGCAACCCTGCTGACAGGTCCAGGTGGATGGAAAGTGAACCTCTGCCAAAAACTCCACTTGAGTTCTCAGCCAGCAGCCAGCACCAACCATCAAACACACATGTAAGGATACTTCAGACCTTTCAGCCTTCTCAGTACCCAGATAACAGCACACAAAGAAGTGTGTCTGCTTAGTACACAGAAAAAAAATTTTTAATGTTGTTTTTCTAAGTCACTAAATTTGGGATAACAGTTAGGAGGCAATTTCTCCCCCATTAAATAAACAGTTTAACACTGGAGCAGAACCTCATGCCTAAAATATATCAAGATAGTCTTCCATCATTCCATCTACCCCTTCATTCTTTCAAATTAGAGAACTGTGTCTATAGCCAGTGCTTCTTTTAAATATTTATTGAACACCTACTATGCTAAATGCTGAGGAGAAAATGGAGACCAAATGCAGACCTGTCCCTGTCCCAGAGGAATCTGTTATCTGGATGGGGAAGCGGACATTAACAAAACATGTAATGACATGTTAAATAGTTAAATGTTAAATAAACAGTGATGGTACCATTGAGAGCAAGCACAGAGTACTCTGGGTACTTGGTTAAGGAACTGACCTTATTAGGGAGATTAGAAAAGAAGTGAAAACTAAAGTTAGGTTTCAAGGAAGATTAAAAAATCAGCTAGGCAGAGGGGAGAGCCTCCACACAGAGAATTCCACATGTGCATAGGGCCTGTGGCAGGAGGGAGAGCGGTATGTTCAAGATCTGTTTCCAGAACTAAGATCGTGGCCCAGGATGAGGCTGGAAGCTGGTAGAAGCCAGGTCTTATAAGACTCTGCAGTCCTCATAAAGGTAGTCTTAAGGAGAAGTCAACAAGCCACTCTGATCAGATTTTCCTTTGAACCCCAGAGGAGAGAAAATTGGGAGTAACCCCAGTGAGAGTAACCTGGAGCAGTCTATCACACAAACTGCATGTGCTGTGACACCTGTGGTATCTCACATACTCGGCACACATGGGCATTCTGCAGATACCCTAATTCCTTGCTCCATTTCACCATATTAATTGTATACATCTACGTCTCTGTAACTATATCAGAAAATCCTTTAGGTACAAGGGCTGTGTCTCATTCATCTTTTCATTCCCATTCCACAGTATCTAGTGCAGGGAAAGGTACATATCAAATGTTTAGTAAGTGCTTCCTAAAAATTTAAAGCATGAATAAACAATCCATTCATAAACAGCCTGTCAAAAGTGATCTCCTGAGAGAAAATTCTACAGCCTTTCTTGGAAAGCCATTTCAGTGATATCAACACTCTTTGGAAAGTCTTGCTAAAAAAGTATCATTCCTTTCTAATTGTAGCCAATTGCTGAGCTTCATCCTCCATGAAGACAGAACAGCCCACATTTCCAAAGGACAGTCTTCCTGTACACTCTGAGGGTCACTACAGGGTCACCCCTAGTTCTCTCTCTTTTTTCAGTGACAAAATACTTAACCTTCTCACCTTTCCTCAGAGAAATCATTTAGCTGCTCCCTGGATTCATTCCAAAACCTCCATCCCTCCTAAACTGGGGGGGGCAGCAATCTAGCAGATCAGCAAATAAGGTCAAAGATGCCTGAGGGGTTTTGTGAGCAGGTCTCAGGGGCAGAGACAGGCTCTCTGCCTTAGTCTGTTCGTTTTCAGGCCAACTCACACGTGTGCGTGTGGATGTGCGTGCACATACATACATTTGTGCATATATACACATGAACACTGAGATTTTTTTTACCAGCTCAAACAATAAACACTGTTCTATTTGATGAGTTTGCCAACTGTCCTCTATTCTTCACCATCAGCCCGGATTTTCCTCTCTGATTCAATACTTTTTTTTTTTTAATAAGTGAAAGCTTTACCCCCATATCTTTGTAGATTATATGGCAGAGAAATGAGCGGCACTTTTTTTACTGATATCTTCACTATCTTCTTCTTGTGCAAAGGCACCACACAGAATGTGAAATAGATCAAGAATTCAAAAACAGTAAATCACTGGTCATTCTACAAATAACAAGTCTCCAGTAATATTAAACAGCTGCTGGTCTTTTTTTAAACAAATTTTTTTTTTTTTTTGGCATTTGGGTGAAAACTGTTCAATTTAATTTCAAAATACAGTGTTAAAGTTCCATTTGGAATCATTTTTCATCTCTTGTCAAATAAAAATTCCTCAGTTATTTTATCATAGTCATTATAGAAGTCTGTATTATGACATTTAAAGAAGATCATATACAGGATGCTTACTGAGCTGTAAATGCTCATAAAAATTATGTATTATTTCTGTGCAGAAAAATTAGTAAGATTGTGTATATGTTAATAACACCATTACAACAAAATGTCCAAATTTAAATTAGATCACCTTATTAAACCAACAAATCCTAGCCTAGTTTCAGAAAGACTTAAAAAATATATTTGTTCCCAAAATCTACAACAGTTTAAATTACTCCCCAAATTATTCAGCATGAATACTTTTTACATTTTTAAACCAACACACACCAGCACATTTAATAAGAACTAGTACATGCCTTATTTCACTTATTATTTAACTTGAGGAAAGAATAAGATAATATATTTTAAAAAATATTGATTGTGCTTGGAAGAATAAAACATTACTGAAGTGATGGTATAGATAAACTCAAAAGTGTCAAACGTCTCATGGAACAAACTGCTGTATAATTAGTATTTCTAAGAATCTACAGTAATAAAACACTACCAAAAATAGGCATCTACAAAACAAACATAAACAAGATCTCAGTCACATAAGTCAATTTTTGTAAAAGATGAAGAATGTGTTTGCTTTATTAAATATGTAAGTAATCTAAACACTACAAAAAGGATAGAATACACTTTTTGAAGTCAGAATCCAAAATATATTTATTTTAATAATGCACACACTTAGTACTCACTGAATGAAACAGTAGTTGCAGTAACTTCTGTTCCTGAAGAAAATGAATGCCTGTGTAATAAATATTATGTAAATATGCTTTTTGGGCTTTTTAGGAGAGGTCTGAGTCCAATTTTGGGTCTAATGTCCATTCCTCAGGGGTAATCTGTTTAAATTGAGGATAATCACTAAAGAAACATAATGCAGCTGCCATCATAGGTTAAAAACACAGGACACGATAATCTGAGTTACCTAGAGGGAAAAGAATTCCCCAAGGTCATTCCAGCAGCCCGCAGAGGGGCCTTGGTGCGATGACTAGGGTCCTCCCAGAGTACCCTGAACTCACACACCTCGATAGCCTTTCTCTCAAAGAGAAATCAAGGTGATTCCTTTTCGCATGATCTCTCTAGCACCCAGCAGCTATGAAGGAGTGGTTTCTCTGTAGACCGTGGACAGTACGAAATTAAGGACCAATTTCCTGTGTCAAGATAAAAGGCACTTGAGCATTCGGTGGAACCAGTGATTTTTATCACACTCAACGCGCGCTAGAACCACGCAGAAGAGAACAATCACTAAGAAAACAAGCAGTAAGTGTAGCAGCACCCAGACCCCAGAAACTGGGTGCAGATCCTCGCTTCCTTGTATTTAAACAGATCCGGCAGTCTTTCCCTAACCGAGCGAACCAAAGAATAGGTCCCAAAGCGAGACCAAACTTTCTGCTCCAAGTGTCTTTCCTTTTGACCAGAGCTCGGAGATGACAAACGAGAGTATTCAAAATAGGGCAAAACAGAAGAGCGTCTAACAGCCGAATCAAAGCAGTTGTCCGGCGCCCGGGGCTCTGGTCAAGTCAAGTCACACGACTTAAAAACGTTTCCTCGCGCATCGAAGGTGCAAAAAGAAATACTTGCAGTCTTAAATTCAACTAGGTCCCAGCCGGCTCGCGTCCACACGTACTAACTTCCCGGGACCCTAAGACTTGGGAGCCGGGACGAAGGGAGGAGGACCAGCTACAGGGCACGCCGGGGGAGGGAAGGGGCGCGCGGGGACCCCGCCCGCCGCGCCTGCACGAGGGGGCTGCGTTCAGCTCCGGGACACCACCCCCACTGCCCCCCGCGCCCGCCTCCTACCTGTCTGAGGATGAAGCTGGTCGAAGTGGTGCTGCCATCGGATCTTTTCAACCTGCTCCTCCGGGTCGTGGTGCCTCGGGCCACCTGCACTCGACACACGGGGTCGGAAATAAGCGCGTGAGGACGCGGCAGTGGGCAGCCGGGCGACCACCCCAGGCTAGAGTCCGCCTCGGGACCAGCTCCCCGGGGGTTCCCCAGAGCCCGCACCCAAGTCTCCTCCACGCTCCCCACATACAGCCTCCACCCCACCCACCCACTCAAGCCTCGACGGCTGAAAAGATGCCCGGGAAGAGCCGCCCGCGAGCACCCACCACATCCATTAACAAAGACTCTGAAGGTGCGGGGTCCGAGTCCCCAGCGGCATGGGCTGGGGAAGGCTGCGGACTCCGGAGCGGGAGCGCAGAGACCGGACGAGGTGAGAAGGAGCAGGAGGAGGAGGAGGAGAAAGAAGAGGGGCGGGAGGAGAGAGGGACGCCGCGCAGGGGTGGGGGAGCGGGGCCGCTGACTCCCAGGACCCGCGGCCCCGCTCGCCCGGCGCAAAGGCGGGGCGGGGAGGGGGAGGAGGGGGCGGTACCTGCGAGGCTGGGGAGTGCGGCCGGTCCGCGCTCCGGTTCTTGGCAAAGGAGGAGGAGGACATGGTTCACAGCCGCATGGCCCGCCCGTGCGCGGCGGGCAGAGGACGGCGGGGCCCCCCGGACGCTTGCACGCGGGAGGCGGGGGAGGGCGGCAGGACTTCCCCACCCGCTTCGGGACCCGCGCCGGCTCCTGCGAGCGCAGCGACACCTTAAAGGGATCCAGGCGCTCACCCCCGCGCCCGCAGCGGACCTCCGGGCAGCGGCCCCCCACGGCGGAGGTCCCGCGGAGGGGGGTTTGTCGGGATCTCGCCGACCCAAGCCGATGGAGAGACGCGCTCTCCCACCTAGCGAGCGCCTTACATCAGAGCTTTCCAGTGGAGGAAGGGAGAGGGGGAACCTGGGAGGGGGGTGGGAGGATGAAAATAGTCTGCACAGTTTAAAATGAGACAAAGGTGGCACGGTTCATGAATCAGGACTCGGGGAAGGACACTGGTGCAGTGTGGCGGGGAGTGGGAAAAGCCGACCCGGCGTGTGCGTGCGTGTGTGTGTGTGTGTGTGTGTGTGTGTGCGTGTGTGTGTGTGTGTGTGTGTGTGTCCGCGCGCGCGCGGGTGTTTGCTGCACTGGAATTTTAAAAGGGCAAGAGCAGAACCTTTCTTCGGCGACTTCACCCATCAGCCCACTGGGGTAAGGCATGGGGTTCTGTGGTTTGGCTTTTCTCCGTGTCTTTGTATTGTTCTGTGAACTCTAGCTTCAGAACGGCCAGCCGTGCACACCCGGCAGCCCCGGGGGATTCTGTCAACCTGAGTCTGACGGGGATGCAGCCCCGCAGCAAACCGGCGTGTCCTAAGGAGTTTTGAAGGTCATGTAGACGTGCTGAAAAGCAAGAGTTGGCCACGTGCCTCCCCTTTCTAGGCGGATATCAGTTTTCAAGGGAGAAAACTCATCTTTGAAATCATACAACATCTTTGGCGTTGTTGCAACCCTAAATTTCCTCCTGCAAAAACATACTAGAGATTAACTGGGGAACAAATAAAAGCGAATTGTGGGGAGGAGGACTTTGAAGTAACAAGAAGGAAGAGAAACATGCGAATTCGAAAATACAGAGACCCTGTTTAATTGTAAATAGTTACCCCAAGAGAAATCCATGAATAAAATTTGCGTGGTATCTTAAATTACTACATCAGCCCCTATCACCTTGGGTTCTAGTATTTTTTGAGGGAAACTGCATGTCTCTTTTAACAATTGGTTGGCCTTCTTGAGGTCCGGATAATGTTTTACCATACACCAGACACCTTCTTTCCATTCCCACCCCCTTCACTTAATCCAGACCTTCAAGTCTTTATGAGTATTATAACTAGTCTCCTTGCCTCCGGCCTTCCTCTGCACATACATGTGCAAACACCCATACCCACCCACTTCATTCTATCTACACACTACAGGCAAAACCATTTTTCTAAAATCTCTTAGCTCACTCTTTTCTAAAAAGCACTGTTGACTTTTTAAAAAATGTTCAATATGAATTACATGCTGTGTTATTTGGGGCAAAATGAGGTCTGCGTCCTGGGAAATGGTGCCTCAGGTAGCTCTGAGAGACTGCTCCAAAGAGGCAGGGGTGAAGGTCAGTATACACCTGATTCTGGCAAAGAGGGAAATACATACAATCACGCACATGTACAGAAGGTTTCTGCTAGTCTCATGAAGCCTTTTGCCAGTGATGAGAAACAATCATCAACATGAAGGATTTTAGTGCTTTTCTAGATATGAGGAGACAAAAGAATTGGACCTATAAAATGAGATCCTCAAAATACCTATCTGAAGATCCTACCAGTTCCCCCACCCCACCCCAAGCACAGAGTGCCTCATTTCTGAGCTCCACCCTAAACTCCTTTCAGAGGCTGTTGAAGGTCAGCAGCACATGCTTTAGTCCTTATAGAGTTAGATGGCAAGTGTCAGTTTGTTTGATGGCGCTCATTGCTCTCAGCAGCCCCCAAGACAGAGTCCAAACTCCTTGGTCCAACAACCAATCTCCTGCTTTTTGGTCACTACCACTTTTCTCCAGCTTGATCACTGAACGGCAAGCAGACAGGTCTACTCATTGCTCAAACACACCAAATACAATCCCTCTTCAGTACCTCTGCCTGGAATGTGTCCTGCCCCCAATCCCACCCGCCTGAATCCTACCCTTCTTCCAAGCCTGGTTCAGCACACTCTCCTTCCACAGAAATCTTCCCTGACCATGCCCTGAAAAACTGGAGCATTTATTCTCTGGGCACTTAGTGCAGGCAGCCTTGGTTTACGTGTTCTCTTTTTGTGAAAATCTAATTCCTAAAATAGATTTTTAGTTTTTTATATTCCATTCTTACATCTCACATGTTATATTAATAGATATTCCATAAAGTATATGGATAATGGTATGTCTGCCAATGCAGAACCCCTTGCTTTAGTTACCATCAGCTCAATCCATTTTAGTTCTCAGCCATTTTCATAGTTGACACTTAATCAATACTTACAGAGTGAATTATTATGTGGGCACTGGGGTTTGAGTTTTCTGGCTTTCTATTGCCTACAGTCTTATGACTTTGAGTTATCAAAAAAGAATCTACAGTGGCATGACTTTAAAGAGTTCTCTGTACCTACCTCACAGCAAAACTGGTGAAAATAGTTTCTAAAAAATTATTTAATCTCTATAAATGGTCCTAAGGATATGCAGCCACTGAACAAACGTTCATTCAGGAAAATTTACTAAAACTCAGTAAAAAAAAAAAGTGAGCTTGTGGTATTTGAACCAAGACTTGTTCTCCCCACCCTCACCCGCCACCACCTTCATCTGATTCAGCAAGAGGGAAACTCTAGCTATCTGATGCAGCTGGGAATATAGGGCTCCCTCTCCCTTCAGCTCCCAGTTGGAGGGTTATTTTCCTGGGAGGGACAGGGCATTTCTCATCCTGCAGCAGCCACTTGTTGCTAAGGCTAAGTTCCCCTCAAATACAGCAGAGGTGGGGGCTCCTATCTTTAGCCCAGCCCCTGCTTGTGGGATGGGGGTTCTGCCTGGGACACAGTGCCACAGAGATATGAGACCCCAACTGCTCCTGGAGAGACAAGCCAGGAGACCCAGGGTTGCTGCCCCTCACTACCAAGCACTCAGCTCCTAAAGTGAAAATGTCACATAGAGAACGCCATTGTCCCTGCCCCCAGAACTGGAAATCAAAGAATGAAGTGGGCCCCACTTTGCACCACATACCAAAATTAACTCCAAATGGACCAAAGATTTAAATGAAGAGTTCTTACATAAAAGTGTAAAACTATTAGGAGGAAACATAAGGGTAAATCTTCACGATCTTGGATTTGGCAATGGATTTTTAGATATGTCACCAGGAACACAAGCAACAAAAGAAAGAAAGTAAATTTGAACTTAAAAATTAACTTCTTAATGTCCGAACTTCTTAAATCTGGGGGCACTGTCAAGAACGTGAAAAGGGCACTATCGAGAAAGTGAAAAGACAACAGAATATGGGAAAATATTTGTAAATCATATATCTGATAAGGGACTTATATGTGTGTGTATATATAAATATATATAATTTATATATATATTTGTGTATTTATATATGTATTTATGTGTGTATTGTGTGTGTGTATATATATATATACATATATATAAAACACACATATATATATAAAACTCTTATATATAAAACATATATATATATAAAACTCTTACAGCTCAGTAATAAAGAGACAAATGACCCAATTTTAACATAGGAAAAGAATCTGAATAGACCTTTCTCCAAAGAAGATATACAAATGGCCAATAAGCTCATGAAACAATGATTGATGTTTTTAGTCATCAGGAGAATGCAAATTGAAACCATGAAATACCACTATACTATCCACTAGATAACTATAATGAAAACCTCAGATAATAATTATTGGCAAAGATATAGAGAAATTGGAAATCATAAATTCCCACTGCTGGTGGGAATGTAAAATGGTGCAGCTCCTTTGAAAACCAGTCTGGCATCTACTCACGTGTTTAAACATAAAGTTACAAAATGAGCCAGCAGTTCCACTCCTGAGTATATACCCAAGATAAACAAAAACATATATTTGTACAAAAACTTGTACAAGAACACTCAAAGAAGCATTATTCATAATAGCCAAAAAAGTGGAAATGCCCCAAATGTCCACCAGCTGAGGAATAAACAAAAGAAACTGTGGCATCTCTATACGATGGAATATTATTTGGCAATAAGAAGGAACTAGGTATTGATACAAGCTACAGTATGGGTGAGCCTTGAAAATATTAAGCTAAGTGAAAGAAATAAGTCACAGAAGGTCATATATTATTCCATTTACATGAAATATCCCAAATAAATAAATCTATAGAGACTGAAAACAGATTAGTGGTTGCTTAGGCCAGGGGAGGTTGGGGGGATATTGAAGTGACAGTTAAGTCTACAGGGCTTCTTTTTGAGGCAAAGAAAATGTTAGTACAGATACTGAAAAGCACTGAATTGTACACTTTTTCATGTTTTACTATTTATTTTTGCACCGGGTCTTCGCGGCCGCACTCAGGCTTTCTTTAGTTGTGGTGAGTGGAGGAGGCTGCTCTCCAGTTGTGGTATGTGGGCTTCTCGTTGTGGAGCGTGGGCTTTAGAGCACTGGCTTAGCAGTCGTGGGGTACAGGGCTTAGCTGCTCCACACGATGTGGGGTCTTCCCAGACCAGGGATCAAACCCACATGCATTGGCAGGTAGATTCTTAACCACTGGACCACACGGGAAGTCCCTGAATTGTACATTTTAAATAGATGAATGGTATGGTATGTGAACTCTCAAAGCCTCTACTTTGAAAAAATCTTCAGACTTTATAAAAAGCGAACTCAAAATGGATCATAGATCTAAGTACAAAACTTTAAAACTTCTAGGAGAAAAAATAGGAGAAAATCTACATGACTTTGGGTTTGGTGATGAAGTTTTGGATACACTACTACTAAAAATGTGATCCAAGAAAGTAAAAATTGACATGTTTGGCTTTATTAAAATTAAAAACTACTGCTATGTGAAAGACTCTGTTAAGAGAATGAAATGACAAGTCACAGACTGGCAGAATACATTTGCAAGATACAAATCTGATAAGGAACTTGTAAACAAAATATACAAACAACTCTTAAAACTCAACAATAAGAAAACTAACAACTCAATTAATAAATGGACAGAAGATTTGAATGGACACCTTACCAAATATAGTAGCAAATAAGCATATGAAAAGGTACCCAACAGTGTTTGTCAATGGGAAAATACAAATTAAAATGACAATACAGTACCAACACACACCTATCAGAATAGCTTAAAAACAATTTTAATTGACAATAGCAATTTTTAGTAAGGATTAGAAGCAACAAGAATTCTTATTCGTTGATGATGGGAATGCTAAATGGTACAG